CGCCGGCCAGCGGCCCGCGCCACTCGGCCGCCTCCGACTCACTGCGCGTGCCGGCCGCCGACGACCGCGGCCCGGCCGACGACTCGTCGTCGTGGGGCGGCTCCTCCCACGGCACCGCCGACTCGAGCCCCTGGGATGAGGCCGAGCCGTCGGCCGCAGGCGCGTCTGAGCTCTATGCTGCCCACAACTTTACCCGCCCCTCCATCCGCGCCTCCATCTCACTCGTCTCGCTCGTCCTGCTCCACAACCTGCCGTCAGGCGAGCAGGCCTCGTTTGCCAACTTTCTCTCCGAGAACGTGGTCGTCGACATCACGCCGCAGGCCGGCGCGCTTGCCGTCACCCGCGCTCCGGCCGACGCTGCCGCCACCCCGCCCCACCCTCCACCCATCCGCGAGCTCGCCCTCACCGCCCGCTTCCAGACCCTCATGCTGCACTCCTCGGTCTCGTCGGAAGACAAGCACCCAGCGTACCTCGACCTGCTCACTTCGCGCGAGTCTGCCACCGGCGGCGCGCCTGCCGGCGGCGCTCTGCCCATGGGCGAGCTCCGCCTCGTCCACCGCTCGATCGCCGACGGCAAGGAGCGCCCGGACCTCTCGTCCGAGCTCTCGCTCACCCTCCGCTCTGTCCGCATTGTCTACGACCGCGACGAGTGGGTCCGCTTCTACTACTTTTGGCGGCCCGCAGACTGGGAACTCACCGCGCTCGATGTCTCCGCCGTCCGGGCTCGCCAGCAGCCAAACTCAACGCCAAGCTCGCCACGATTGCCGCCGGCGACTCGGACCTCCACGCCCCGCCGTCTGTCCCGCTCAAGCTCAACATCGCCCTCCTGCAGCCGGTCATTATTCTCCCGCCCCGCGGCCGCGCCTGTCCGGCACACATTGCCGACATTGTCGCCCGCCTCAACTTCTCCACCATCCACCTCCAGAACCTGCCGCTCAAGCCGCCGGCTTCCTGCTTCTCCGCTGGCCTCTTTGCCCTCCCGCTCCACGCCTTTCCGGCTGACACATCGGACTTTGACTACACCGGCTCGCTCGCTGCTTCGACCCGCGCCGTTGCCGCGGCCTACCAGGTCGATCTCGATGGCATGTGGGTCGAGGTCCTCCCCCGCCACGACGCCTCGCCGCACGTTGTCCTCGACCCCATTCCCTGCCAGCTTGATCTGCTCACCTACGACGAGCCGGGCGACCTGCCGTCTGTCGAGCTCTTCCTCCGCGTCGCCTCCATCGTTGCTCACTGCACCCACGACGAGTACCTCTACTTTTCCTCGGTCTACGAGCACAAGCTCGCCTGGGACGTCTCGCACTACCAGGCGGCCTCGGTGCCTGCGTCGCCGTTGTCCGCGCCGCCGCCGCCGCAGAGCCCTGCATCTGATAGCCCGGCACCCGTCGACGACGCTCTCGTCATGCAGATTGTTGACTCGACGGCGCTCCGCGTTGCCATCTTTGTCGACCTTGCGCTTGTCGAGCTGCTCGATCCCAAGCGTAACGTTGTCGTAGCGTCGCCGGCCAGCGCGAGCACCAAGACCAAGGCCCGCGCCTTGCCAACCCTTCCGCCGTCGGCTGCCGCCGCCGCAACGTCCGAGCTTGTCTCTTGCCTCCACCTCTCTGGTATCGAGCTCGCGCTCGAGCACAGGACCAACGAGCGCGTGGTCAAGGCTCGCATCGCCACTCTGGCCATTGCTGACGAGAGCCCCTCCGCGTCGTCGTCACCGGCTGCGCTCACTTCGCCGTCCAAGGCCGCGTCCAACGCACGGTCCGGCCCGCGGCACCTCAGCCTCCGCATGGTTCACTCTGCTGCGCTCTCGTCGCTTGCTGCCAAGAACGGCAACGCTGCCACAGGCTCATCAGATGCTGCTGTTGCTACCCCTCGGGCGTCCTTGTCCTCGACTCATGGCGCCAGAAAGTGGCCCAGGCTGTGCTTGAGCGGACGCTCAACTTTCTGCGCCTCAAGGCCGGGCCGTCGACGTCTCGGCGCCTGACGCGAACCCAGTCGCCGACCTCCGCATCCAGCTTGTCAACTGCGGCATTGAGCTCACCTCCAAGCTCACCTCCTTCGCCACCGTCCTCGACATTGCCACCCTCATCGTTGAGCCGTCATTCCGCTCCGACTCGACCCTCGTCCGCGTTTGCCCGGACACCGCCACTCTGCCTCTGTCTGCGGCCTCGGCCGACGACGCCAAGCGCGCTGACCTGGCCGAGGCTCGCCTTGCCAAGCAGACGGCCGCCTACGAGGCTGTGCTGGCCAAGGTCGCCGACCTTGAGGCTGCGCTTGCCAAGGAGCACGCCGACAACGATCTTCTCCGCGCCGACGTCCACCGTATGGTCGAGAAGATCACCCAGTTGCAGCTGGCGAGCATGGGCATGTAAATCCTCATTTTACGTTGTTAACCTATCAAACTACGGATTGTCGCGCCGCGGCCGCCGAGGCGGTGTCCGCCGCGCCGCCCGCGCCGCCATCGCCTCGCGCGGCAGCCGCGGCAGCGCCGCCGCGCCTCGCCCGCGGTCGCGTCGGCTCGGTGCGCCTCCGCCGCCGCCACGCCGCGGAATCGGGCTGCGTTCGGCCGACCCAGCCTCTGTGCCGCGGCCAACGCCGCCCTGCCGCCGCGGCAATGCCGGGAGCTGCCCTCCGCCGCCGACATGTCCCTGTCCGCGGCCGCTCGGCTGTGCCCGGGTCGAGATGCCCCCGAACACCTCTTCCGATGCTTGCGACATGTACATCGACGATGCCGTCGACGATGGCCGTGTCTCGCGCACCGGTACCATCCCACCATAGCGGGGCTCGAGGCCAGACGGTCCGCCGGCCACAAGTGGACTTGTGTACGCTCCCGCATGGACCGGAGCCGGAGCCTGGCCCTGGCCGACCGTCTGGCCGCCGTATCCCGGACTCGGGTAGCCCTGGTAGACTTGATGGCCCTGGAAGCCTTGGGCGCCTGGGTAGGCCTGGTATGCTGGATAGCTCGGACTCGGCGCCGCGTACCCAGGCACAGCAGCTGGCGCCGGCGCTGGCGCTTCGTACGGGTTGAGCGGTGCAAGTCGCCCGTGTGGGATTGGCGATGCCACGCCTGCAACTGGCCCGGGCACAATGTCTGGAGCTGCGGCAGCTCGGGGCACAGCCGCCGCCTCGGCCGCCAGCTGCTCAAGCGAGACGCGGGCGGGTGCAAACGAGGTACCGCCGACGGTGACCGGATGCAGCGATGCCGGCAGACCGACAGCCGCCTCCTGAAGCGCTGCCTTTTCGGCGTCGAGCGGATCCTCGCCCGACTCGTCCTCTTCGTCGGTCTCGACGGCGTCGTCACGGAAGACAAAGAACTGACCGGTCCCCTCCACAATGTCTCTCTCTGTGGCGGGCTTGGAATCCCACAAGTACTCGACGAGCTGGACCGGATCAACCCGGACCGTCGACGAGGTAAAGATTGAGAGGAACGCTGTGTGCGGACCGGCCGACATCAGCGATGGCACAATGACGTATGTGTAGTCCTTCGAAGGCGGAAGGTAGAGCGAGAGCGATGCCTTGGTGGCCCGCGAAGGGAAGATCCGGTCCACAATGTCTGCCGTTCGCAGGTCCGACGCCAGCACCGCCCCGCGCTCGCGGTTGGCCGGAAAGTAGTCAACACCCGTCCGCCACCGACACACAAGCAGCGTCACGGCCTTGCCGTCGATCGCCGACTCATCCGCAGTCTGCTGCCGGATCTCCACCGTCACGTCTGCCGCCTTGCGCCCAAGCTTGAGCGCAAACGCCTTGCGGCAACCCGACTCGCCCTCGGCCCAGTCGAGCCGGAAGACCTGCTTCCGTGCACCCGACGCCGTCTCGGACTCACCGCCCAGAGACGACGTTGTCACCGTTCCATCGATCATCCACGCCGCCGCGAGCGTCGGGTCCACCACAGCGTCCGCTGCCGGATTCTCCGCCATCGACCGCAACTTGTCGGTCAGCGCGTCCACTGCCGGCTGCGCCGCGCCGCCAGCCAGCGGCGCAGCGTTGCCTGTCACTCCACCCGACGGTGTTCCCGAGCTCTCTGTACTTGCTGCGCCCAGCGACGCCGGCGCTCCATCGGCATACGGCAGGTTCTCGACCGCGCCCGACAGCGCCTTGACTGCGAGCTCGAGCGTGTCGAGATCCTCGACATCCAGCCCACCCGCGTCGTGCGCGCGCGACCCGGGACTCGCGCCCGGAAGCGCCACGTCGTCCGAGTCTGGAAGCAGCGTCGTCACGTCGACCGCCGTAAAGCCCTTGATAAAGTCATTGTACGACATGTAGAACTGGCCGTCGTCAACCACGTCGCCGCCCACAACCTCCTGCTTGAGGTCGTGCCAAGCGCCCGACCATGTTGTCGACCCGTGCGGATTGCGGATCTGCAGGAGACGGTTGGCCCCGACCACGCACACACCCGTGATTGCGTACGCGTGACCCTTCAGCAAGCCTTGCTCCGTCGGCTCCTCGTTGTCTGCACTCAGGTCCTCAATGTAGCATGACATGAGCTTGTTCTGCGCCTTGTACAGTACCATCGTCTCCCAGAACGCACCGGTCTTGAGCGATCGCGAGATCTTCGGGTCGTCAAACTTGAGCGCCTCGCACACGCCGCCGGTCAAATCCACCATGGCGTACCGGTCGACACCGCCGTCAATGGCCTCGTACGAACCCTTAAACTTGGCGTATGCCTTCTCGATGAGCATGACGTACATCTCGTTGCGATCGGCTGACCACGCATAGACAGGCAGCGGGTTCTCCCACGGATCTGCGCCCTGAGTGCTCTCCAGGCACGGTACGTAGTCGTCGATGATGACGTACTTCCACAGCTTGTTGTGCGAGAACATGAGCGAGTAAATGCCCACGTCGACGTTCCACGGCTTGATGAACACCTTCTCAATGTACTCTTGGTTCGTCGCAAGGACCGCCACGCATCCCAAAAGGTAGCACGTCCCAATCCCGCCCTGCTCCACGTCGGCACCCTCCGCACCGTCGATAAACACACGCGGGTTAGGCATCGTCTCAAACAAGTCCGACAGCCGGCGCCACGTCGACGGATACGTGATGTAGTGCGGGTCACCAGGCTTGTCCGGATCGTTCCACAACGCAGCCTCGCTCGGCAGGAACGCATCGTCAAGGTACTTGCGGCCGGCCGCCTGGCACTCGTTCACCTTCTTCGCCACCTCGTCGCGGGAGAGCTCGCGGCACTTGGACCGCTTGGTGATGGCGTACTTGAAGCCCTTGTCGCGCGTGCACTTGGAGCACAACAGCAGTGGCGAGAGCGCGTACGACAGCTCCGGGTGCTCTGTCAGCAGGTCGGACCGCGAAAACGGCAGCTCACGCACGTCGCGCCACCGGTACCAAAAGTCCGACCGAGGCATCGGCGACTCGGCAACCTCGCACTCGAGCGCACACGAGGGGAGGACGCGGACCTTGACCCGCGCCACCCGCTCGCCAAACTCGACAAAGTTGAGGTGCATCGCCGCCGCCGCCGCCTCGGCTGCTGCCAGTGACTCCATCCCTACAAACGCCGCCCGCTTGAACAGCTGGAGTGAGACAGAGACCACCGTGCCGTAGTTCGAGAACCGGCTCCGCACAAGCTCCTGGCTTGTTCCCCGCGGGAGCCCCAGCACGAGCACCGTCGGCGGCATGTACTCGTTCTTGTTGATCCGCTCACCACATAGCGTTAGCTGCATCGTTGACACCGTCAGGTGCGACGCAGAGCCGGCCATCGAGAGCACCACCTGCCGGTGGTCGTCGTCGTCGTTGTCGAGCACCGTCTTCAGCTCCGACGAGACCGTACCAAACGTGAGCACCTTGCCCGACTCCAGCAGCGCCTCTACAGCCTCGCCCGCAGACGGGCCCTCTGAGACCTCCATCACTTCGCGGAGCTCACCCGAGTCGGTGAGAAAGACAAGCCCGTCGCCGTACGGTGCGACTTCGATGACCGTAAACGCCCCAAGCGGGTCATACAAGTCAACACGCGTGTACGTCCGCGAGCTTGCCAGATCGCCTACCATCCACAGCTGCCCATCGTACGTCACCGCGGCACAGAACCGCGGGCCCGCAGCGATAAACACCACCGACTTTTCCTCGTTGATGGTAGTGTCCTCCACGGTCACCCGCCGCGGCGTCGACGTTGGCCCAATCGGCCCAAGTGCTTTGCCCTCGCCGGTCACAAACAGACCGTCTTCCGCCGTGAGGAACATCGTGATGTTGCGCGAGCCGGCAATCTGCACCACCGTGTGCTCGAGCTGCACAAGCTTCGGCGTGGTCTCGCGCTCAGACTTGTACCCGATCCCGAGCTGGCCCGAATCGTTGGCGCCCCATGCAAAGAGACCCGCAGACGTGTACGCCACAGTCGTATCCGCAAACGCAGACACAAGGAACACCTTCACCTTATCCGGCTTGGTCATCACAGCCGACTTGGCCACCAGCTCGGCGCTCGTACCCGACGCGCCTTCCGCTCCAGCGGCGCCACCAACACTCGCTGACGACTCACGCGCCTTGGTCGGCACCCGCGGGAACTCGACTTTGCCCAGCTCGTGCCTAAAGAGACCATCGGTCTCACGCCCAAGCTGCCCAGCGGCGTTGCGGCCCATGGTGTAGAGATCGTTGACTTCATCGATGACGGCCACATGGTAGTCGCCAGCAGTCACAGCCTGGACCACGTACTCAAATTGGTCGTGCCGCCCGCCGATGCCCACTCGCGCCACATCGACCCGTGTGCTGCTCTTTCGCCCGCACTGGCCAGACTCGTTGTGGCCGTACGTAAAGAGCCCGCCGTTCTCGGTCACTACCGCCGTAAAGTTGAGCCCAACTGCCATCATAGACGGCAGTCCAATGGTGACAGACGTCACCTCCACCGGCGGACTCACGGTCGCCCACTTGTACGCCCCGGCCAGGCCAAGGCACGAGTAGTCGTTGTAGCCGAGGCCAAACAGCGAGCCAGCAGAGTTGATGTACAGCGTGTACTCGACGCCGCACGCCACATGCTCGAGCACATCCGTCTCGGTCAGCGCCACCTTGCGCGGTGCGTACACTGTCTCGTCCGCAATGTGCCCGTTCTTGCGGTATGCAGAGTCGCCCCAGCAGTACCACACTCCGCTCCGCGAAATCGCCGACGAGTGGTACCTGCCGGCGTCAATCTTTGCAATTGGCTCGTCGAGCCCATGGTTGATCTTGGTAAACGTCGCCACAGACGCCGCAGACCCGAGTCCAATCTGCCCGTACATTGCAGTGCCAGACGCGTAAACCTCACCAGAGGCTGTGAGGAGAAGGACGTGCCACTGGCCCACAGCCACGTCCAGCAGCTGCGTCTTGAGCCCGGGCACCGAGTGCGTCGGCAGGAGCGTAAACTCCGACTCCACAAAGTCGTCGCGGCCCATGCCCACCGCTCCGTACGTGTCTTCGCCAGCGGCGTACACAAACGAAAACTCGGTGTCGAGCCGCCGCGTGATCGCCACAGACAGCGTGCCCGAAGTCTCGAACCGCTCCACAAGGTCCTCGGGCACAAACCCGAGGGCCTTGCCCGGTGGCACAACTGCAGTCGTCCCGCGTCCGGTCGCCCGCGCCCGTCCCCACGTGAACAGCTCACCGCCGTCCGTCACCACACCTGCCATCGATGCGCCGCACGAGATCTCCACTACCCGCTCACCCACCAGGTCGGCTACAAGCCCGACCTCCCCTCCGGGCGACGGCATCGATGAGCCCGATGGCCGCCCGAGCTGCCCGTCATTGTCAGCACCAAACGTGTACACAGCGCCGGCGTCCGAGACCACTGCACCAAACGACGAGCCCATCGAGCCCGTCACAATGTGCACCCCCTCCAGTGCCTTCATCAGCCGCGGCATCTCCACAACGTTCTCGCTGGCATCAAAACCGGTATCACCCTGCTCGTTCCACCCGAACGTGTACACCTCGCCCGAGTCAAACACCACAAGCGTTGTGTACGAGCCCGTCGCCACAAACGTCGCCCGCTTTCGCCGGAAGAACTCGACGTGCGAGAGCGCCCCCACGCTCGGGCCCTTGCCCCACCGCCGCGACTTGTTCCGACTCAGCGACGCGCCGCGCGCTTCGCCGGCTCCAGACGAGCCCGGCCCGGAGCCTTCCGTGGCCGACTGCGGCAGACCAAGCTCTCCAAACGCGTTCGATCCGGCGGCGTACATCCGCCGGACAGAGAGCGCGTACGGCGCCCGAGGCGATAGCGATGCGTACTCGGCCATCAGCGCACGCGCAGCAGGCGTCTTGGACAACAGCTGCGACGCCACACGCCCATTCATGTCCTGCAAATGCAGCTCGGCCTTGCGCGTCGACAGGATCGACGCCACAATCGCCAAATCAGCACGCTCCGCCGCAATGTGCAGCGCCGTCCGCATCTTGTAGTCTTGGATGTTGAGCCCGCAGTTGACCCGGACAAGCTGCTCCGCAATGTGCGCATGCCCGCGGAGCGTCGCCAGGTGCAGCGGCGTCTGCCCGAGGTGCGTCGTGGCATCGCCTTGGCCTTAAAGTAGATGAGCGTTTTGGTCAGGTCGTCCATGCCCTCCTGCGCCGCAAAATGTAGCGCCGTAAATCCAGACGACGGAATGACCGCGTTGATGCCTGTTCCAATTCGCCCAATGAGCGACTGCAGGAAGCCCATGTCGTTGTTCTTCTCTTTGACAAGCACATGCAGGATGTTCTCGCCGGCCGCATTGACCGACACCACATCGGCACCCTTGTCCAGCAGCATCTTCATCAGCTCAGGCCGCCGCTTCTCGTGTGCCACATGAAGGAGCCCGACCGGCATCGAGTCGGACGAGTCGTCGCCCTTACGCACCAGCACGTCCGCTTTGGCCGAGTTTTCCAGCAAGTGCTGGACCATTGCGGATTCAGTCTCAATCGCAATCGAGAGCGGCGTCTGGAGCTTGTTGTTGAACGCATTTGGCGAGAACGGGAACTGCAGCAGATCCCGTAGCTCGGGCGCGTCCGATGCAACCGCCACATGGACTGGCGTGTTGCCTGCACTGTTCTTGACATCCAGCTGCAGCGCCGTCAGTGACTGCCGCCGCGCCTCTTCCAGCAGCACCGGAATGGCCTTCGGGCACTCGCGCGCTGCGAGGTGAAGAGGCGTATCGCCCTCGGGCGACATCACCGTCCGCGATACCAGCGACGCGCCCGAGACAAAGAGCTGCTGCAAGAGGCCCAGCCGCTGGTTGACAAGCGCCCGATGCAGTGCCGTGTAGCCACCGCAGAGCCCATTGACAAACGTCTCGCGCTCCTTGGCCACTGCCCGCGCAACCTGCTCCTTCGACATCGACCCGTCAAAGGCAACCGCACTGGCCGCGCCACCAGCAGCTTCCAACTCCTCGTCCAACACGGGGGCCTCTCCTTCGTGGACCTCGTGTCCGCGAGCCGCAGCAGCCTTTGCCTGCTCGGCTGCCTCGCGCGCTCGCTCGCGTGGAATGATTTGCGACATTGTCGCCGAAAACTCTGCAAGGAGCGTCTTGGCCACGTCGTCGTGACCGTGCTGGATGGCGGAGTGGAGCGGGGTCTGCCCTGAACCATCACGGAGTGTTGGGTTGGCGAGTCCGCGGAGCAGCAGCGCCTTGACAAGGTCCTTGGCACCGGTCTCACTCGCGTAGTGGAGAGCGACCTTGCTGTTGTAGTCAGCGAGATTGACGTCGGCCCGCCCCGTCGCCACAATATCCAGCGCCACTTGCTTGCACGCTCCCTCCTTGCACGCAAGATGCAGCGCAGTCATGTTGCTATTTTCAGAATCGCGTGCATCAAGGAGTATGCGCTCGCGCGACTCGGCAGGCAAGTTGTACTCGTTCTCCAGCGGCGCAGCCTCGCCATGACCCATCCCGGACCGCATCGACATCTCGTCATCGTGTCCGCCACCATACCCACCGCGCCCGCTACGTGCACTCAGCCGCTCGCCATCATCGTCATACTCGTCGTATGCATCGTAGGGACCGATGCCCGACGCGGTCGAATCGTTGCGCGACATCCGGTGCTTGCGATAAGTCCCGCCCCCAAACTCCTGCGACTCGAACAGTGCATCATCGCCACCGTACGACGCCGCGGGGTCCGGCAGGAACTGTCGCGCCAGAGCCACATGCTTGTTCCGCAGCGCATAGTGCAGGATAGTAGCCCCGTGGTCGTCGGTCGCTTCCAGCATCGGCCCATAGTGTTGCAGCGCCACTTGCCGGTCGTTGTGCGAGCCCGGCATCTGGTCACCATGCGCGTCAAGCACCTCACGTGCAAACACGTCCTTGCTTGCGTTGAGCGCAAGCATGAGCGCATTGCGCCCACCGTCGCACGTGTCGGTCACGTCTGCTCCAGCCTCAATGAGCTTGCGGACCAAAACTCGGTGCGACCGGTCGAGCTTCTTGTTGAGAAGCAGGACGTGAAGCGGGCTGCGCGAGGAGCGGTTCTTCGTAACCACGGTCGCCTTGAGCACATCGGTGCCCTCAAACTCGTTGAGCGCATCGATGATGGTCTCTACATACCCGACCGCCGTAGACGTCTCCTTCTCCAGCAAGGCATGGAGGACTGTGCCGCCGTCCGACCGCCGCACAAGCGACGTGTCCGCGCCTGCTGCGATGAGTTCAGTGATGACTTCGTCGAGGTTGGACTTGGCTCCGTCTGACGCCATCACCAGCCGCATTAGCGGTGTCTCGCCAAGATGGTTCTGTGCATTGACATCGAGTCCCGGCAAGTGCTCCATGAGCAGCAGTGCCATGTCGGGCAGTGCCACGTTGTTGCATGCCACATGCAGCGGCGTGTTGCCGTCACCGTCGACCTCGTTCGCCAGCTCTTGCATCCGCCCACCGCGCGATGTCGCTCCCCGCGGAGAGTTGCGGTCGACGCCACCCTCGGATCCGTCACCGGAGACACTTTCGCCGTCGGCGAACCCGTACTCGTCGCGGTTGTCAACAGCGTTTCCAACAAACTCTTGTGCAACTGGCCCCCCGCCACTGCCGCTGCCATCGTCGTCGTCGCCAGCGGCGGCTCCCACCTGTTCGATGAGCTTCTCGACCACATCGAGAATGGCTGCGTCTGGGAGCTTGATGAGCTCATGCAGAATCGGCTCGGTCCGCCCTGTGTTCCCGTCATCCGGTGCAAGAAGCGCACCCTCGCCCACAAGGTACTTGATCATCTCAAGCTGTGCCGATTTGACCGGCACGGCATCCTTGCCACTGGCAGCCTCAGCGGACGGCGTCGTCATCTTGACTGCCACACGCAGCGGCGTCCGCTTTGCTGCCGACCCGTCGCGGACATTCAGAATGTCCTTATTACGTGGCTTGGCATACTCAACCAGCACCGCCGCGCCCTTGACAAAACCGGCCTCGGCCGCCAGGTGGAGCGGCGTCCGCCCTGCGCCATCTGGTGTCTCAAGCAGCTGCGGATCGGCCGCCAGCAGGAGCTCCACAATCTCGATCCGGTCGGCCTCGCTCTTGGCGCTGCTCTTCATCACTGCAAGGTGCAGCGGCGTGAGCTTGGTGCCGAGGCCAGCGTAGGGGTAGGCTGCCGCATTCTCCGGCGCTGTGATGCCAAACGAAGCAAGCTCGGTGTGGAGCCGCAGCTGCGACTTGGTCCGCTTCCCCAGCTCTTCCAGAATGGCCTGCACTAGCCCGAGCTCACCCTTGAGCGCTGCCATGTGGAGGACCGACGCCGAGTACTTGGGCCGGCCTGAAGACTGGGCCTGCTCGACGTCCAGATTAATTGGCGGAGCGTGGAGCAGCTTATCGCCCGTGAGGGCGACGAGCGAGACGAGCGTCTTGAGGTCGACACCGTCCACCTCGTGCGCGATCATCAGCGGCGTCCGCGACTCGGCGTCAAGCATGGTCATTGCCAGCGAAGCGCGGTTGATGAGCGTCTTGAATGTCTCGGGCATCCGGGTGATCTTGGGAGCAAGCAAATGCATCGGCGTCTTTTGGTCACGCGTTGTCTTGCACAGCTCCTCGGCTGTCTTGTCGCGCATGGCATCGAGAAGGAACTTGGCCACCGCGTCGTGACCAGACCGACAAGCGAGGTGCAGCGGCGTGAACCCGTCGTTGTCGACAGCGTCGACCGCAAGCTCACGGTGGCCAGACACCAGCTGCTCCACCACAGAGAGCAAGCCAAATTCGGCAGCAAAGTGCAGCGCCGTCGAGTTGTTGCCGTTGGTGGCCGCAACCTCCACGTCCTTGCTCAGCAGTAGGAGCGCGAGCTCTTCAAGCCCCTCCTTGCAGCAGTACATGAGGAACGTGGTATCGTCGCCCACGTCCTCAAGCTCGATCGTTGCGTCCTTGCCAATGAGAATGGTGACCACAGAGGTGAAGAGCTTGCGCGGCAGCGCCTCGCGAACCTTGCACGACGAAGACGTAAAGCACCAGCAGGAGAACGTGTCTACACGATCAGCTGCCCAGGCATCGCCCAAACGACACGTGCTCATACACACGGCACACACCGGATAGCCGTTGTAGTAGAACAAGGTCTGCTCCAGCTCTCCCGACCGCCCCACAGCCGTGCACACCTGCCGCGACGCGAGCGTGTGGACCATGGTCTTGAGCAAGTTGGTGAGCGAGACTGCGTGCTTCTTGTAAAAGTCGATGATGAGAAGCGCGAGTGACGGGTTGCTGCCCGTAATCGCGAGCAGCAGTGAGTTGTCTTGGCTTGCGTTTGCCTCGCCACGCCCGGCTCCAGCGAGTGCACCTGAGCCCGGCCGCGACTCAACCTCGAGCACTTGCTTGATCTGCGCGTGCGAGAGAATGGCCTTGACCACCGGAATTGAGACCGGGTTGGAGAGCCTTACCTCGTCAATCGCCTCGGCCGAGCATGCCGCGTGAAGCGGAAGCTTGGCACCCGGCGAGTTGTGCCGCATGATTTCCGCTGGCGTGTTGAGGAGCAAGTACTCGACCACGTCGAGGTGGCGCTGCTGACAGGCAATGTACAGCGGCGACCGCTTCTTCTCGTCGAGCAGGTTGACATTGGCTCGCGAAGCGACAAGTGCCTTGATAAGAGCCATCTGGCCCGCTTCTGCTGCCCAGTGGATCGGCCCGGCGTGGTCCACCACGTTGTTCACCGCTAGCCGTTTGTCTTCCGACGTTGACACAATACCGAGCAGCATGAGTGCAAGCTCCCACGAGCCATTGGCACATGCCACAAACAGAGGTGCCTTGCCCGCGAGGTCTGAACCGCCATCGCCAGGCACACCCCATTGGAGATCGTAGTTGGCAATCAGCGCACGGGCCACGTCCACCTGGTTCGTCTTGGCTACAGAGAGCGTGACCTCCGACGAGAGCTCCTCGAGCGTCGACCGCTGCGCCCGTGGCAGCTCGGTGTTGGCGGCAATGAGGCCGAGCACAAACTCCCACTTGCCACCTCTGGCAGCAACAGCGAGCGGGACCTTGCCTGTTGGATCGTCGCCACCCCACTTGGGACCGGAGGTGCCTGCTCCACCCGTCTCGCCCTGGCTGCCATCTTCCCGCTGGGCTGGCGTCTTTGTCTGAAGCAGCGACGTGACAGAGACATCAAGCCACTCCTCGGAGGCCGCCAGTCGAAGAACAGCTCGCCCGATGGTCGTGGCGCCTAGCACAGCAGACGCGACAAGGACGGATGCGAGACTATGACCGCCCTGCGCTTCTGTGGGGGCTGGCGACTCGCCAGCGCGGAGAAGCGCCAGCGCAGATGCCGTGTTGCCCAGCAGCGCCGCAAGACAGAGTGGCGTCTTGACCAGCCGCAGCCACATGGCGGTCGAGAGCTCGCTGCCGCCACGGAGCGAGAGCATCGCGTCGACGTGGTCAACCAACGAGACCACACCAGGGTCGACGTGCGACGCCGTCACCGGAGCAAGCTCAGCGTCATGCTGGAAGGCCTGAAGAGCCCGGCACACCAGGTAGCTGCGCGGGTGGGACGAGACGGCAGCATAGTGGATAGCAGCCGCGCCAAAGCTGTCGGTGCGAACAAGCGATGACGGCGAGACCGAAGCTGAGAGAATGGCAAGCGCCACAGCGACTTGTCCTCCCATGGCGGCATAGTGCAACGCACTCCGTCCCAGCCTGTCGCCCACCAACGAGTTCTTGAAAAGAGCAAGAACAAGCTCAAGCGAGCCCACCTCAGCCGCGTAGTGCAGCGCAGTCTTTCCACTCGCCCCCTTGCCACCCACATCGGCACCAGACGCCAGCAGGTAGCGCGCAGTCTCGACATGCTCGGAGGCCGACGCCGTCGACGACAGCTGCATGACTGAGCGGAGGAGCGGCGAGGGGAGGTCCGATGCGTCCAGCTTGCCCGATGCCGGTACGCCAAGGCGGATGAGGGTGCGGACGACTTCGGTGAGGCCGGCGCGAGCAGCAAAGTGCATGGCCGAGCCGTCCTGGTCCGAGAGCATCGTCAGCGCAGCGACGAGCTCATCAGGCGGAAGCATCGCCGCCATGCCTTTGATGAGCACCATGGCTGTCCCGGCCTTGCCCTTCATCAGCGCCGCCACAAGCGGCGTCGCCTTGACCGGGTTCTCGTTCTCGACAAGAGCGGCCCTAAGCAGCTCACCATACGGCGCGAGAATGGCGAGCAGCCGACACAGCAGGTCGACATTGCCCGACGCCGCCGCGTAGTGGAGAGGCGTGTACGCCGTCGGGCTCACGTTACCCGACGTCTTGTTCATGCCCGGAATTGGATCTGTGAGCAAGAAGCGGACACCAGGCATACACTGGCTTGCACACATGTACGCAAACGGCTCGATCATGACCTTAGTCTCCACGTCCGAGTCGCGGAGAGAGACCTCAGGCTGGCTACTCTCCATTGGCGTAGAGCGCGCACCTAGCTTGAGTGCGGAGAGCAGGACAACCGCGACTTCGCCGCGGGCCTCGACCACTACCGACCGCGCTGCCGAACCCTGTTGGCTCGCCAGGAAGTCGGGCCAGACCGAGATCATGCTCCTCACTACCGAAACCATCTTGAGCGAGACAGCCTTTTCCAGAGTCGACGAGTCCTCCAAGCCAGAGGTGAGGAACACCTGCTCGGCGTCGGCCGAAGTCGCCTCGCGGATGCACGAGAGCAGGACGAGTGCACCCGCAGTGTCACCCTTCTCGACCGCAGATGCCAGCGGCGAGATCGATTGGTCCGAAAAAATCTTCCCATCAACGGAGTCGCCCAGAATGCGGAGCAGGCCCAGGTGGCGCGAGACAATGGCCTTGGCCATAGGTGACCAGTACCAACCGTGCGAGGTGTGAAACTCGGCTGGCAGCTCACGTGATGCGCCACTCCGCCAGTACGCCTCCAGCGCAGCGTACGCAAGCTGCGGCTGTCGCTGGTCCAACGCAAACGTGAGAAACGCGTAGTCCCACGGATTGCAGGAGAGACACGCCTCCTTGACGGCCTCGTCCTTGACAGCCTCGTCCACTCCCAGCGTGGCAATGATCATCAGCGAAAGGCCTGGGCAGTCGTCAAACACGACCTGGAGCCCCATCCGCACGTCCCACTCCAACCGCGAGCCCACTTGGAGCGCGGCAAACACGGTCTCGGGTGCCGTTCCATACTGCGTCGCCATCCGCATCAGGTCTGACAAGACGGCGGCTCCCGGAGCGCTGCAAATCAGGTCATTGACGTTCGTAACGCAGCGAGTGCGGCGTAGAGCGCGCACCTAGCTGGAGTGCGGAGAGCAGGACAACCGCGACTTCGCCGCGGGCCTCGACCACTACCGACCGCGCTGCCGAACCCTGCTGGCTCGCCAGGAAGTCGGGCCAGACCGAGATCATGCTCCTCACTACCGAAACCATCTTGAGCGAGACAGCCTTTTCCAGAGTCGACGAGTCCTCCAAGCCTGAGGTGAGGAACACCTGCTCGGCGTCGGCCGAAGTCGCCTCGCGGATGCACGAGAGCAGGACGAGTGCACCCGCAGTGTCACCCTTCTCGACCGCAGATGCCAGCGGCGAGATCGATTGGTCCGAAAAAATCTTCCCATCAACGGAGTCGCCCAGAATGCGGAGCAGGCCCAGGTGGCGCGAGACAATGGCCTTGGCCATAGGTGACCAGTACCAACCGTGCGAGGTGTGAAACTCGGCTGGCAGCTCACGTGATGCGCCACTCCGCCAGTACGCCTCCAGCGCAGCGTACGCAAGCTGCGGCTGTCGCTGGTCCAACGCAAACGTGAGAAACGCGTAGTCCCACGGATTGCAGGAGAGACACGCCTCCTTGACGGCCTCGTCCTTGACAGCCTCGTCCACTCCCAGCGTGGCAATGATCATCAGCGAAAGGCCTGGGCAGTCGTCAAACACGACCTGGAGCCCCATCCGCACGTCCCACTCCAACCGCGAGCCCACTTGGAGCGCGGCAAACACGGTCTCGGGTGCCGTTCCATACTGCGTCGCCATCCGCATCAGGTCTGACAAGACGGCGGCTCCCGGAGCGCTGCAAATCAGGTCATTGACAAGGAGAGGCAACCTGCAGACAACTCCAGAAGCTGTTGCAATGTCGTTGAGCGGTGTCACTGGCGAGAGCGTATGAAAGAGCTCGAGCACAAGTGGTTCGCGTTCGGTGCTGCACTTGGGCGATGTCACCACCCGCCGAAGCAGCGGTGCAACGTCAAAGGCCGAGGTCATGACTACTTCCTCGCTCGAGTTGTCCAGCTCAAACTCGGGCTCCACCAGCATTGACGCCGTCCGAGCGAGCATCTTGCGGATGACGACGTCCGAGCGTGCGTCGAATGCCGTGCTGAGCGCGTCGTTGACAGCAGTGACCGAAAACATATTCAGCAGCGTTCTCTTGGTCTGTGACTGGTCCTTGTACAAACGCCTCTCGCGTCGGTCGACCTTGCCCACTTCGTTGTTCATCCGGTTACTCCGCTCGCGCAGGAGCTCAGCAAGAACAAACGGTGAGCCACCATGCGCAACAGCAGCAAGAAGAGAGAGCTCCGAGTTGGCGTCACCATCGCCAGAAGTCGCGTCGAGCCGAATGTGCTGCGAAGCAAAGAGGGTCGAGGCAACCGGGCCGAGGCCCTTGCGTGCCGCCAAATGTCCGGCATGGTAGCCCTCCGGGGTTGCGATGACCACCGACTCGGGTGCTGCCGCCACCAGTAGCAGTGCAATGTCCTCGCGACGTGAAAGAATGGCCAGATGCAGCGGAGTCTGTGAGTTGTTGGACTCGGCGGCAGCGTTGGCGCCCGAAGAGAGCACAAGCAGATTAGCAACGGTTCCAAGACCTGCCCGTGCCGCAAGATGCAGTGGTGTCATTTCCTTGAAGCCTGGATCGTTGACCTGGCTCTCCGACGCGAAACGGAGGATGAGTTCAGCCACGTCGTGGGCTCCGGCGGCACACGCAATGTGCAGCACACTGCGGTTAAAGTTGTCAGGGTGGTCCAACGGAGACGCCACGAGGCCGTACTTGAGAATGGTCCGGACAACAGCTGTCACGCCGTACCGCACAAACGACGCAAGCAAGAGTGTCGCCTGACGGGGCGCAAACATCGAGTCCAGGGTCGGGCTCGAGCCCCCGAGTGCGCCGCCAATGCCACCGCGCGCACCACCAAACGCAGTCGCCGTACCGGTGCCTGATGCTGCCTCTGCCAGAACCCGCGCCGACGGAATGAGCCGCTGAAAGGCCAGCAGTGCGTGCGCCGCACCAGCAAGCTTGCCGGCGGCACACGCCTCGAGCGCCTTTGCGAACGCGCCGTGGTCCATGACGAGCGACACCCGGGTGAGCTCAAGTCCGAGAACCTGGTACACATAGCCGAGCGCGAGTCTTTCGTGCAGCAAGCCACTCTCGGGACGATCGTCAAACGGCGAGAGCGTTGCCAGGCCCGAGTTGAGGTTCTTCTCGCCTTCATCACCGGCAAAACGCGGCTGCGAGGCACTCGTCGGCTTGGCGCCGCTCTGCCAGCCGTCAGCAGACGCAAACGAGTCCGTGGCGGCGTGCGCGGCAAAAAGCAATGGCTGGATCACCAGCTCGGCGACGTCACAGCTCTGCGACTTGGGTGCCGATGCTGAAAACAGGTGCATCGCCAGCGGATAATTGTGCTGCTCAAGCGCAGCTGCGATGGGCGAAGTGGCGTTCAGCGGCAGCTCAAGCTCGTACGTCTCGCGGAGCTGGGCAATAGCTGGCCAAAGGCAGCTCTTGACAGCAAGAAGGAGCGGTGTCTCGCCATCAATGTTGGGCTCGGCCGATGCCCGCGCCAGAAAGTTATCGAGCTTGGCACGGCCTTCGGTGAGAGCGAGCTCATCTTGTGCATGGCTGACTTGGTCTGGGAGATCTTCTCGTCAAGGACCGAGATGAACTGAGGAAGCCGCCCGCGAACAGCAGCATGGTACAGCGTCTCGTCGCGGGCGTCACGCGTCGCCGCCACAAACGACGGCTGCTCCATAAGTGCCGCAGCGAGCGTGGCATTACCGGCCTCGAGCGCGAGGAACAGCGGCGTCTTGCCATCATACCGCCGCTCCGAGACCGAAAAGAGAAAGCCGGTGCGGGACTGGGCTGCGTCAGGATTCTTCTTCGTCGACGCGAGATTGCCGCTACGGGAATCCGAAGTCCCGGCCCCGGTGTTGAGCTCGTTGTTGTGGCCCGAGGAGAGAAGATCCACCAGCTCGGGATCAACACCAGCGGGCGTGCCCTTGAGCCACGGGCATGTGTACTCAAAGTGCGGCGCATCGGCATCATCTAGCGAGACCTCGATCCGGTCCACAGTGGCTGTACCATCCGCGAGCTGCGGTAGGCTGAGGAGAAAGGCAAGCATGTCGACCGCCCGCGGCGACGAGACAGCATAGTGAACAGCCGAGGCGCCGCGAGCGTCACGCACCGAAACGTCGATCTCGGGGAGCTCCTCGAGCATGCGCACGAGGGTGACACTCGACGAGGAGGCAGCCTCGAGGAAAGGTGTGGCCCCGTGCGGGCCGCCGCGGGCGTTGAGAAGTGCGCCGTCGGCGTTCGAGTCAAGAATGGCCTTGACCACCGACGACCGCCCAAAGCGGGCCGCGAGGTGAACGACGTTCTCGCCGGCCGAGTTGGTGAGCGCGAGATGCGCCGCTACATTGAGCGCAGAGTAGTCAACAAAGAGCTTGATGAGCGCTTCCGCCACAGGCAGGTTTCCGGCCTCTACCGCCACCATCAGCGGCGTGGCCTCGCCGCGGCTAGGATCGCGCGCTGCAAGCCACTGCAGTGGACCAGAAACGTCGAGAGTCGCCGGAAACTCGGCAAGAAGTCCACCGAGCACGCGCGCAGTCGTGCTTGCGGCTGGAAGAGTGGCAGCGAGGAGATGCAGCGCGGTCCCGCTCCGAAGATGGGACTCGAGCTCCAGCCGCGCGTCAAGGTCCGCCACAAAGGCGACCGCGTCGGCGCCGATGACCGCAGCACGCGCACACGCCGCTTGACCAACAAGAGTCGCGTTGACAAGCGACGCGCGGTTGCAAATATCCTGTACAAGGAGCAGTGGCTGCTCGGCTGCCTGGATGGCCGAGGTGATGAGATCAAGGACGGAGAGCGCAGCCTCGATCGGCGAGGTGACGTCGTCAATATGGCCCACCGGGCCGCCCTCTTGGCCACCACCAAAGCCCGACTCGTCGTCGTCACCGTAGTCGGAACAGCGGTCGTCGTCGCTGTTGTGCCCAGCCTCTGGCGCGCCTGCGAGGGGCACGCCGGTAACCAACCTCTCGAGAGCGGGGTTGTCAGCGAGAGATGCTTCGACCGCAGCGTCGAGCTCGGCTTCGTAGTACACCCGCGCCGCCGCGAGAAGAAGGAGCGAGGCCTTGCCGCCGGCGCGGGCAGCGAGCACCTCGGAGCTGAGCCGTTTTCCCTTGTCCTTGGAGAGCCGGTCGAGAAGCGGCTTCATAGTGTTGACGACGGCATACGCCACCGGCGTCATCGCATTGGCGTCGCGTTGTGCGAACAGAGATCCGAGCGGCGAAGGTGGCGCGGAGAGGACAACGTCCACAAAAGCGTCGACAAAGTGAGCGTTTCCCATCTTGGTGGCAATGTGAAGCGGCGTGCCGCCCGATGTCGTGTCTGCGGTGACAAGCAGCTCCTCAAGCAGCCGCGATGGCCCAAGCGAAAAAGCTGACACGAAGACCGGCTGAGGAGTGTCAACGCCCTCGGCCTCGGCCTCGGCCTCAGCAATAGCCTCCTTGACCAGGCTCACAGCAGCTGCCTTGGTCTTGGGAGGAGCGTCAAATGCCGCGAGGTAGTGCAGGATATTGGCATTGCTTTCGGAGACCGTGTTGAGCAACAGCGGTCGTGAGTCCTCCGTGACGGCCTTGTTCGTTCCACGCCCGCGCCGGGAGGCATCGCGCGCATGCTTTCGGGCGCGCTTGGCAAGGCTACCTGCGTCAGCCGAGATGTCGGCACGAGCAAACGTAAGGGCCACGCGCACCGCAGCCAAGTTGGACGCCTTGAGCGCCACCATAAGCGCGTTGCATCCGTCGTGAGTCTTCACGTTGCGGTCGTCCATGTCGTTCAGCAGCTCCTCAAGAAGCTCCGCCGACTCGGGTCGGAGCGCGGCAAGATGACACGCCAGATAGCCAGCATACGGTTCCGTGGCAGACATCTTAGAGCCGGTGCGGACGTCAAGCGGATTGAATGGCACCTCGTCGGCCATGGCTCGATAGGCTTCGAGCAGCGCAATGCCAGCGAGCGATGAGCCGTAGAGTGCCGCAATTTGCAGCGGCGTGAGCCCAACGTCATTCTCGGAGGCATACTTCATGTCGATCACCGGAGCTTCATAAACGTTGTAAAGGACTTGCCGGCGCTGAGCGTCGGTGAGCGGTTTGTCCTCGAGCGAAATGAGGAACTGGAGGCCAATGTCCAGCAGCGGATCGTCGTCGCGAGGCGTTTGCGGAAGGGCGTCAACCCTGGTCTCGACGTCTGCAGCGAGTCGCACCCACTCGAGCGAGCGGTCAAAGTGTGGGGCGACAAAGTCTGTAGTGCCCTCGTCAGCGACGAGCGAGCCCGGCCCGGTGAGCGGGACATGTGGCAGATGCGCGGCAGTGGCGGCCGAGCGACGGATGCCCTCGATGGCGGCGACAAGGTCAGACTTGGACGGCGGCCAAGGCGTCTTGCCTTGGCTCAACTCGCGCCCGCGGGGAGTCGGGGGAGGAACAACGGCGCGAGCTTCGAAAGCAGCCTCGGCAATGGAGGTCTGCATCATGTCGCCCACAAGGTTGTCCATGTCGTGGATGACGGCGTAGTGGACGACGTTGAAGCCATACGCGTCGCAGAGGAGCGCAACCGAGGCAAGGTCAAAGTTGTCGAGCGGCTCTGGCAGCGATGTCGACGCCATAAACTGCCACAGGGCGTCTGCAGCATGCGGGTTAGCAAATCGAGTCGCAATGTGCAGCGGTGTTGCAAGCTTGGCTGTGCTTGTTCCGGCACTCAAGATGAACCCAAAGTTGAGCGTGTCGGTCGTCGGGTCGTGGTAATCGTAAAGTGCGCCAAGGAGAGAGGTAATGACCGAGGCCGCGCCACTGGCGTCGCCAACCACTGGCGCGAGCGATTTGCGCTCGTCGAGATAAATGACGGGCTCAACCGCAGGAACAGCCGCAAGGTAGTGGAGGACGGACCAGCCCATGGTGTCGAGGGTGCAGGCAGCGTGGCGCAGCCGCGGCGAATCTTGGAGGCCTGGGATGAGGACGTCCTGCAGCAGCTCGAGGCGGCCGTGCTTGGCAGCGAGGACCATGCCAGACTCACCCGCTTTGGTCCTCGCAGCGAGCAGCGGCTCGTAGCTCTCTATCTCTTCAAACATGGTGGAGATGAGGCCGGTGGCGCCCTCGCGACAGGCAAGGAGAAAAGCTGTGCAGCCATCAGTATCGGCAAAGAACAGTTCCTCGATTCCGGCAACCTTGAGGAGCATGATGGCGACGGCGTCGTGCCCGGCGGCGGCGGCGAGCATGAGCGGGGTGCGGCCGTCGGCGTTCGGCTCCCGGAAGGCAGCGACGAGTCGACCGAGCGCATGGCGACCAGCTACAGCCAAGTCTTCGAGGACAACAGCATCGTCACCGAGAAGGTTGCTGAAAAAGTCCTGAACCTCCAACTCTTCATCGGTGAGCTCGATAAAGTCGTCCTGACTCGCAGCGTCAGCGGCGGAGCGGCCGGTCGAGCCGCCACCAACCGAGGCATTGGTGTCGAGCAGCGAGGGCCGGGTGTGCTTGCGAGAGACCCACGAGGCGAAGCTCGATGCAAAGATGAGAAGTGCGGCACCGTTGCCGGCACCGGCAGCCTCGTGAATTGGCGTGTTCCCGCTCGTGTCGGTGGCGACGACGTACTTTGCATTAGCCAACCTCTCGTCCGAGCCCAGGAAGAGCTGGCGGTAGACAATGTGCGAGACGACCGGTGAGGCAGCGGCGTCGTGGAGGCAGGTGCGGCCTGCGGCGTCGCGGGCGCCAACCGGCGCATGCTTGAGCAGCAAGCTCTCCACCACAGCAGCGAGATCAAGCTGGTCAGCGACCTCGGGTTCGCGTTCGCCATTGTAGGGGTCGTCTGCTGAGCCGGGCTCAGCGTAAAAGGCCGCAAGCATGTCATGGAAGGAGTCGATGGCGTCGTTGACCTCGCCCGCAGCTCGTGGATAAGGAAACGGCGAGGCGTCGTCAAACTGGAACCCGACGAGCTTGCCCGACTTTGTGCGGATGGGAAAACCCGGGGGGTGACGTTGAGAAGAGCGACGTCGTGGCCTTCGTCGTGGGCAATGACGTCTTCGAGGTCGACAAGACCCGAAGCGAGCGCGTCCTTTGCCTCGGCGGCAGCGGCGGCAATGTACTCGGGATGGACAAGGACGTTGCCGGCGGCAAGTTCGGTCGGCGACGGCGCGCGGAGGAGCTCGTGCAGCGGAGTGCGGCCGCCAAGGCCCGCCATGCTGATGGCGGTGGCAAAGTCGCGGGCGACCGACTTGGCCCCCGATCGGCCCTCGGTCTCAAGGACGTCCGCTCCAAGACCCGAGTCTGTAGAGGCGAGAATGGCGCGGAGGGCCTCGGGCTCGGGCTCGGGAAAGACGTGCGGGTACTCGGGCGTGTCGTGGTCGAGGAGAACGGTAGCAGCGGCAAGGTTCTTCACCCGGAGCGCAATGTGGAGCGGGGTGTCGCCGAGCGCGTTCGGCGTGGCGGTCATGCCGGGCTCACGAAGCATGCGGAGGACGGCGTCACCTTGAGCATAGCGCACTGCATAGTGCAGCGGACTGTTGGACGCAATGTCGGTCATAGTCGGCTCAAAGAGCGGGACCTGGCGGTAGCCAAAGACGTCGTCGAGAACAGGGGTGGCCGAGAGCCGCGCCGCCGTGTAGTGGGCAAGCGTGAGGCCAAAAGCGTCGACGGCGGTGGCAGAAGGGCGCTTGACAAGCTCGGCCATGGCGTTGACGCTCCCCCGGTCGGCGGCGAGGAGAAGCGGTGTCCGGCCGAGGCGGTCAGTGTGGAGCAGCTCTTCGTCGTCCGAGGGAATGAACCGGATCATGGTAGTGAGCGCAGACGTCATGTCGTGAAAGGCGACGTAGTAGAACGGCGACTTGCCAAAGTTGTCGCGGGCAAAAGGGGAGAGCGCGTGGTTCTTTCGCTTGCCGCCCGCCGGCTCGAGGACGGCGAGCAAGTCGAGGACAAACTCTTCGCGGCGGTCTTTGGTGGCGACGTGAAGGACGGTGGCGCCGAGCGAGTCGGTCACCGCCAGCTCGCTCTGGTTCTTGGAAAAGTGAGTAATGAGAGAGCGAGCAAGAGGGAGCGAGCCGAGGCGAGCAAGGTTGTGGAATGCGGTGGTGCCGACGTCATCCTTGCAGTGCAAGTTGGCCGGATCCTCAAACGCGGTGGGGTTGAGCGGCGATGGCGTGTTGTACAGGGTCTTGAGGAGAAACTCTGCAACCTGGAGGCGTGCCTCGACGTGGGCCTGGGCCACCGCCTGCTCCTCGGCAGCAAACCCCTCGGGATCGTCGTAGATGACGCGAGTGAGCACGTCCGAGTACTCGAGCGCAAGATGCAGCGGCGTCTTGCCCTCGGCGTTGCGCTTGTTCATGACAACAAGATCCTCAACCGAGATGTCCTTGATGTCGTCTTCCTCGTCGAGAAGGGCAAGCAGACACGCCACATGGCCTTGCGAGGCAATGTAGTGCAGGAGGGTGTTGCCATCGCGGTCGACCATGGTAGTGCCGTTAAGAAAGACAAAGAACTCGACAAGGACCCGAGGCAGGCCGATGGTGGCCGCCATCTGGAGCAAGTTGAGCTCACGTGGCTGCTCCATATGGAATCCGTTGGCATCCTTCATCCGCACAGGATACGTGGCCTTGATGGTGTCAGCATCCCGAGTGAGAGCGTCGATGCCCTCGATGTCCTCATGGATAGCAGACTCGAGGAGGGCGTCCAGAAACTGGCGGCCAGACTTTTCCCGCAACTCTGGGTACAGCTCACGATCCACAACCTCCATCTCCGCCCAGTACTCGTCGACGTACTCCACCCGTCGCTCCAGCTCCATCTCCTCCTCCTGCTGCAGCTCCTCCTCAGTCTTCTTCTGTCCGTCCTCCTCCCCTGCAAAGTGCTCACGTCCCGACATGCTTTGTCGCAACGACTACCTGGAGGGGGGTATGCGTGTGCTTGGGGAGCAATGACCTTTGACGGTGAGCGGTGTAATTGAACGAGTGAGTGCAGTGGGGTGGGATGTGGGGTGGTGAGGGCTGCTGCTGTTGGCGGTGAACGGAGTTTGAAGCAAGGTGGATGTTGGGGGGGGGGGTTGGAGGTTGGGGGGTGGGGGGAGTGGACGTCAAAAAATAGTAGTTGTTGTGCTGAGGGAAGGAAGGGGGGGGGGTTGAGGCGAATCTCGAGTGGACAGGTGCCACTTGCCAGTGACGGTGAGGGTGAGGTGTGGGAGTGTGTAGGTAGGGTCATACCTGACGCTGGAATTAGGAGAGAGCATGTCAAAGGTCTCGGGAGATGGAAAGCGAAAGAGCGGCGAGGATGGGCGTGGAGGACAGCGGGGGCAGCGGGGGCAGCGCGGGCAGCGGGGGCAGCGGGGACCGCGGCGAGGGGGGCGGCGGCGTGGCGGAGAAGGAACGGGCGAACATTTCGGTGGCGCGCGAGGGACGGGCAAGGGCAAGGCAGCTGGGGCCGCGAGTCGGGGTCGACAACGGCAAGAATCAGCGGATCACTTTGTCTCGATCCGCATCGACGACGTGGTAGCGCTCGACGGGCTGCGCAAGGTGCAGGAGGCTGTGGTGGCGATCGAGCCGGAGGCCGCGCCCACCCTGATTGCTATTCCTAAGATCCACCTCACGCTGTGTGTGCTTCGGCTCGGGCGCGGTGATGAGCCTGCTGGCATTGCCGCCGCTCGGCGAATTCTGGACGCTGCTGCGCCGGGCATCCAAGCGGTGATGGCCAAGCTGCGCGATGCTGCCGATGGCGTTCAGCCGGCCATCCGGCTCGCAGGCCTCGAGTCTTTCCGCAATGGCCAGGTCCTGTTCGCGCAAGTCCCGCCATGGGCGCGTGCTGCGACGCTGGCACACTCGTCGCTGACCAACGTTGACGTTATCGGAGCGCTGCAAGAGATTGCTGCCGATCTCCACGCCCGGTTCGATGCCGAAGGTCTCGCCTTTCCGCCGCAGCAGCCGTGGGCCGGCTTTACCCCGCACTGCACGCTCGCCAAGTCGCGGACGTCAGTCAAGGCGCGGCCTGCGCTTTGCCGAGCGGTCCCGCGCGTGACGCAGTCGATCACGGTCTTTGGCGATCAGGATCTGGTTGCCCTCGACCTGTGTCGGATGGAGGCTGTCGATGACGACGGCTACTACGCCACCCGAGCCTCCATCTCGCTACTGCACAGCGAGAGCAAGCCGCCGGCAGTGATGTCGGCCCGTGCTGCGGTAGCGTCGGCGCTACCGCTCGTTCTCGAGCCCGGAGTGGCCAGTCATGCAGATGTGGTTTAGTTTTGAACTCGTGCAACGGCGGAGATCGGGCTACTTGGCTTTGGCCTTTGCTGCGGCGGTAGCGAGCTTGTGCTTGTGGCGGAGGTAAGCCTCGTCGGTGTGGAAGATCATGTCAAAGACCGAGAAAAAGGTGCCAAAGCAGCCGACGTTGTGCGAGTGATGAAAGTCGTGCTTGCCGGCGACGTCCATAAAGTGGAAGGGCGACCAAGGAAAGGCATAGCCCGAGTGGGCGTCGACCGTCTCAAGCACCCGCAGCGCAAGCCAGACCAGCAGCGTGGCCAGATGCGGGCCGACCAGCAACATGCCGGCCAGAGTGGGAATGGCGTTGGCAAGGAGATCCTCAACCGGGTGGGCAAACTCAGAGGCAATGCCCACGGCGGCATGGTAGCGATGATGCTGCTTGTGAATGGCCTTGTACAAGGCTTTCGTATGGAGCGTCCGATGAGCAAAGTAGAAGAGAGTCTCATTGACGGCGACGGCGACAGCGATCTGCCACACCATCTCCCAAGCCGATGGCAGCTGCGGCGAGATGTGGAAGCCCATGGCCTTGAAGGGAATGTACAGATACCACAACAGAAGCGGTTGGACGATCAAATGATTGATGACAATGGTCTTCACCGTCTCTGCCAGCAGTGATCCCGATGGAAACTTGGCGCTCTGGATCTTGTACTCGCGGAACAGGCCCAACCAATGAACAGCAAAGAGTGCCACATTGACGCCCACAAACACCATCTCGTGCACAGCAAAGGCAGCTGCCGTGAACAGCGTCCGTTCAGAGTAGGGGAAGGAGGTCACTAGTCCAGCCCACCATCCTTCAACACCAGACATGGCCATATCCGCCTCGAATAGGAGGGGGGGGGGGTGGCTGGATGCGTGTGTGGAGACGTGGTGCCGCACGCGAAGTGTCAGGCAAGGAGGGCCGGGCGGGGCATGTCTCCACCACCAACACCACCACCATTGTGCTGCCGCCACTGACACGGCCACCGAACCACCTCGATCAAGCCGAGATACTTGAACACTTTGACACACACACACACACCACACACACACACAAACCTCCTCTCACATACACACCTTCCCCTTTCTCTTTTCCTCGTGTTCTCCTCTCCTCTCCCGCAACCGATCCCACATCCCCACACCCCCACACACCCGCGCCCCCCCCCTGCCCGTGTCGGCTGTCGACTGTCGGCGGCGATCGATCGCGCGCGCGCGCGACACTCTGACCTTCCTCCCCCTCCCAAACCCCAGCCCCTGCACAGGCACAGGCATAGGTATACGCCCCTCTCCTCCACCCCACAACCTCATCCCACTCAAGCCTCCAGCTTAGCCTCTGCGCTTTCTGTGGGAGTGACTGTGGTGGGAGTGGCAAGCAATGGTACGAGGGTATGGTCATGGCATGCAGGGCTTGGCAGCTGCTGTGGTCGTCCTTCTCACCATGTTCCTCTTAGCTACCACCCGGCCTGCGGATGGTTCGTCACCACCGACATGGTCACCGCAAGGTCATCTGGATCCAAGTGGAAGTACCGATGCTGACCAAGACATTAATCCTGCTGTTGCTGTCTTTACCGTCCCAGGTGGCGTCGCTAGAGCTGCCGTCTTGGCTGTATGGTCCAGTCGTGGCATGGCCGGCTCGGACGCCGACCTCGTCTACGTCGTCTCGCTCGATGCTGGTGTGAGTTGGACAAGCCCTGCACTGGTTGTTCCGGCTGCTGCGACAACAGACTCGGCGGCCGATGACGACATCGCCGCTGCGCTCGCGCTCTCGGCAGACGGCTCGACGGTAGTCGTCGCCTGGACCGCCGTAGGCGCCGACGAGGACATTGTCGCCGCGGTCTACAACGTCGCCGCAGGCGCGTTTGAGGCCACTTCGCCGCACTACGTCAACACCAATTACGCCGCCGACTCGGGTGATGACCGCGCTGTCGCCTTGATCGCCACCGCAGACGGCTCCATGCTCGCCGTGTGGCAGTCGGACGAGTCTGCCGTCGGCTCGGCCGGCGCACTCGGCACCGACATCGACCTGCTTGTCGCCCGGTCATCCGACAACGGACGAAGCTGGGCTTCGCCGGAGCCGCTCTTCCCCGCGCTGGCCACCGCGGACTCTCAGTCCGAGTATGCGCCTGCTTTTGCCGCACCCATGCTGGCGGGATCGCCGCTCGGCCTCGTCTGGTACGCGCCTGGCTCGTGGGGCGGCGGTGTGAGCACCGGCTCCGACTTTGAAATCTTCTTTGCCACCTCGACAGACGCCGCCGGCGCTATCTGGACCGCGCCCTTACGGATCGCGTCCAATGCGGCGTCCGACGGCTCCGCCCGCGACTACTCGCCGAGCCTGTCCGTCTCCACTGACGGGGTGTGGACCGTGACCTGGCACTCGGAGGCCACTTCGTACACCCGCCCGTCCACAGGCACCTTTGTTGCTCTTGGCTCCGACACCGACATTCTGTACTCGCGCTCGGTCGACGGCGGAGCGTCATGGTCGGCAGTCAACATCCTCAACGTCAACGCACCGTCCGACGACGGCAACGACCACTCGGTTGCAATCCGCTACGCCGCGGCAGATCCTTGCATTGTTGTCGCGCTCTGGGTCTCGTCGTCGACCCTCTCATCGACGCTTGGTGCTGACGACGACATCCTGGTCACACATTCAATCAATGGCGGTTCATCGTTTGCTGCGCCGAGCGCACTCGAGCCGAGCGCGTCGTCAGACTCGCTGCCGCAGGCCGAGCCGACCGTGGTCGGCACGGTCAACGGCTCGTTTACTGCCGTCTATGCCGGCATGACCTCGGGCACCTTTGACTGGGACATCTACTCGGCAGTGGCAAGTCCCGGCTCCGCAGCCACCTGTGGCAACGGTGTGGTCGAGTGCGGCGAGGCGTGCGACCCGGTAGACGGCGACTGGTCGTGCTGTGACCCCGTGACTTGCAGCTTCCGTCCGGCCTCGGCCGTCTGTCGCCCGGCTGCCTCAGACTGCGACTTGCCCGAGACCTGTACCGGGACGTCGGCTGTCTGCCCGGCCGACGTCGCCAAGGCCGCCGGCGCGCCATGTGAAGATGGCTCTATCTGCACCACTGGCGACACCTGCGCCGGATCGCCGTCGCGGACCTGTGTCTCGGGCACTGTGGTCTGCGTCTGCGGCAACGGCGTGGTCGAGGGGCCCGAAGCCTGCGACCACGGAGGCGCGCCGGGCACGTGCTGCTCCTCGTCTTGCTCTATTGAGCCATCAGGCGTCATCTGCCGCTTTCCGACTGGACCCTGCGACGTCGAAGAGCGATGCGATGGTGTCTCGGCGTCTTGCCCGGCCAACGCCTACGCCCCGGCCTCGACTGTCTGCCGCGCCGCAGCTTCGTCGTGCGACGTACCCGAGACCTGCTCAGGCTCGGCGCCGTCGTGTCCGGCCAACTCATACACCGCTGCGGGCACCTCGTGCAACGATGGCGCAAGTTGCTCGGTTGCCGACGCCTGCGATGGCTACGGCACTTGCATCGGCGACCGGTCTGCCTGTCCGCCGCCGCCGCCGTCGCCACCGGGCACAGCGTCCCCGCCGCCGCCGGGCGGCCTCCCGTCACCTCCGCCGCCACCGCCGTCACCGCCACCACCCACGTTTTCGCCACCGCCACCGCCGCCGCCAGGAACCCCAAGTTCACCCAACAACCCGCCTCCTCCGCCGCCAGCCTCATCGCCGCCACCTCCGCCTCCGCCGGGCGCGTCGTCGCCACCACCGCCGCCAGGCGCAGTCTCGACTGCCACCGGTATCGGCATTGTTTCGCCGTCGTCGGCACCATCACCTCTTGTCGAGCCGACCTCGTTCTGGTTTTGGGTCTTCTGGCTTGTCCTTCTCATTCTCTGCTGCCTCCTCCTCCTGTTTCTCCTTGTCCGCTACCGGCGGCGGCACAACGGGCTCGTCGTTCCGGTGGCCTACGCGCCGGGTGATGCCAACAAGCCGGGCATCGACATCACACTCACTCCTAACACGCCGCTGCCAAGCGCGGCGCTGCCGTTCATCAACGCTGCTTCTGGCACCGACGCAACTGCTGCCAATCCTGACACTGCTGGGCCATCGGCACCAAACACCGCCGAGCTCGAGGCCCAGCTCGTGCTGCTCAATGATGAGCGATCTGCTGTTCTTCACCAAGAGGCCGACCTCAAAGCCAAAAAGGCCGAGCTCGTTCGCAAGGCTAAGAAGCTCAAGCAGGCCCAGGCCAAGTTTCGGGAGAAGATGCAAGCCATGGAGGCTGCTCGCGCCACCGCGAGTGTCGAGCCGGGTGCACCTCTTCTCCACCCTACCGAAGACGAGGGTGTTCAGACTGAGGCTCCCTCGGTGGCGACGGCTGCGGTGGCGGCCACAGACAATCCAGCCCTCGCCGAACTGCATGAGGAGCACCAGCGGCTGCTCAAGGTCAAGGCTGAGCTCGATGCTGAAGAGAACGAGCTGTCCGAGCTCAAGTCGCAGCTGGCGGCGAGAAAGAACGAGCTTGATGAGCGTGAGGCGTCGGTGAGCGCACGCGAAAAGGAGCTTACCGCGCTGCGGGCGCAGCTGGAACCACGGCTGGCGGCACAGCGTGAGGAATTTGAGACTGCGTCAGCCGAACGGCTAGCTGCCGACGCTGCCGAGTTTGCCGAGGCGCTGCATCTGGCGGCGCCGCCTGTCGAGTCGACTGACGACGTGGCTGCGCGGCGCGCCGAGCTCGAGGCGCAGATGGAGCAGGTCGAAACGCTGCGGACCTCGCTTTCGCTGCAGGCTGCCGCCATTGACCCTGCAGACGCGTCCAAACAACAGGCAATGGACTCGCTGGCGACGCTAGTTGAAGAAAAGGACTCATTCGTGAGTTCTCAGCTTGCGGCGCTTAGGCTGCGCGAGATGGAGCTCAACGGCGCGTCGCTCGAAGACATGGCGCGCGAACGCGCCAAGGTCCAGGCCGAGCTCCATGCCCAGTTGGCAGCGGCAACGTCTGCGCGCCGTGAAAAGACCTCAAGCGCAAGGCGCGGCTGCGGGTTCTCACCCATAGCGACCGTAGCAGCAGCGATCGCTCGGCGCGGTCGCGCGAGAGCTCGGCCGAGCCGGGCGTCTCCAGCGGCGGAGCCGGTGCTCGACCAGAGGACGGGTCGGGTGATGTGGAGGCAGCAGCTTCTGGCAGCGCTGCTCCTGGCTCCCCGCCCGGAAGCAGCAAGAGTGCGGACCACGACTCGTCGTGCTCGCCGTCCGGCTCGGGCATCTCGCACATCATAGCAATGCCCCACCTCGACGGCGACCGGACGAAGGACAAACTGGTGGCAACCAAGGCCGAGCTCAAAGACCGAATCCAGACGCTGCGCAAGCGTGAAGCCCAGCTCGCTGCTGCCGAGGCCCGCCTCGAGCCAGGGCGCGATGCTGAGAAGCTGCACACGCTGCGGCAACGCAAAATCCAAGTGCGAGAGGAGCTTGCCGAGTCGGAGCATACGCTCGACTCGGTGGTCACCGTCCTCGGTGTCCTCTATGAAGGCGACGGTGTCGGTGGCAAGGTTGACGACGACGGGTCTACACACGATGTGGATAGTCCAGCGGCCGCAACACCTCATCGCGTCGCATCGCCGGGCTCGCCCGGCCTTGACAGCGGGTACTCAAAGCTTCAAAGCCGCGACCGCGAGCTGCAGCGGCGGCTAGACCAGGTGGCCCGCGAGCGGGTGGTTGTCGAGAGCAAGCTTGCAAGGGCAGAGTCGACCGGCGAGGTTGCTGCGCTCAAGCGGCAGTTGGCGCAGCTGGAGAAGCAGAACACGACCATCGAGGAGCAGCGGGTGCAGGTTCAGCGGATGCGAGCGACACGCTCGCCGTCCATCACCGAGCTGGTTGGCACCGGCTCGCGTCCATCGTCGCGGACCTCGCCCAAGCCGTCGTCCCCTCTGGCGATGCACGGCGGGACGCCTGCGCGCGAAGACGCGCTGCTGGTCACTGCTGTTCGGGCCGCAGAAGGTGGAAATGCGATCCAAGAGGACGGGTCCTGGTCGGGCTCGGGCTCGGGCTCGGGCTCAGGCTCAGGCTCAGGCTCGGGCCCGGGTTCGGGTTCGAGTTCGAGTTCCGGCTCAAGTTCGTCCGTCAAGCTGTCTCTCTGGTGCGGATGATGGCCCTGGTGCGATGGACTCGCCGTCGGCTTCTCGAATGCGCAAGCGCCAGCCGCTCCCGAAACTCGAGGATCAGGTCGAGCTGCTGTATGCCCAACTTGCTGGCCAAGGACGCGATTGGGTCTGGCGGCAGCAAAGGACAAGCGACTCGCAAGCCCAAGATTGAGAAGCGAGTGGCCCGTCTCGAACGGGTTCTCGCCAAGATCACACCGACTCTAGTTGACGCTCCGCTTGTCGAGGCCCATGCTGTGCGGCAGACCGAAGTGGCCAGGGAGGCTGGCGTGGACGCCACCCATCCAGTGTTGCTGCGACTAGAGAAGGCGCTGCCAGGTGCCGGAGTCCGTGCAGCGGGCCAGGGCAAGGCGTCGGCCACGGCGTCGGCCAAGACGTCTGGCAAAGCGGCCGCGTCAGCCGAGACTCGGACCGCTTCGGGAGCAGGCAAGACAGGTGAATCGGGGCCGCTTAAGGCCACGGCGGCGCTACAAAGCCGCTCAGGCTCAGAGGCCAGCTCGGACTCGAGCCGGGCTCGGGCTCGGGCTTCACGCTCGGGACCGAGCTCCGGGTCGGGCTCAGATGCTGACGATGGCGATGCACCAGCATCGTCCGAGTCGAGCCCGGGCAAGAAGCAGCAAAAGGAGGCGGCCGAGCTGGAGCAGAAGCTTGCGCCGATGCTGGAACAGATGGGCAAAGAGTCGACCGAGGTGCAGCTGAAGCAGATGATGACGTCCGGCGGTGGAAGGGCTGGGTCGGCGTCACGGAAGCGCTCGACACTGGAGACCGACAGGGTGCCAGGCGAGGTGGACGCGGCGCATGCTCGTGTGGAGGCGTTGACAACTGTGACAGCCGAGCTGACGGCCAAGGAGCTCGGACTCCATGACCTGCACTCTGAGCTCGCGGGCGAAAAGTCGACCAAGCAAGGCGACTCGCAGCTGGCCGAGCTTGGCGAGTCGATTCTAGATAACTCGACCCAGGTCCGTGAGCACCAGGAGGTCAAGCTGGACGCGCTACGGGCGCGGACGAGGACGCTGTCGGAACACACCCGTGCGCTCAAAGCCAGCGCTCGCACCGCGGTGCGGCAGAAGATCAGCGCAGAAGAAGCCGCATTGCGAGGCGAGATCTCTGCCCGGCGCGGCCTAGTCCGCGGCGCGGCGCACCAGCGGCACGAGCGTGTCTCATCTCAGGTGCTGGCGACGCTGGAGCGGCAGCTGGCAGAGGTTCACTACGCCGACCAGGTGCTTGCGGTTGAACCACCACCCAAGCCCAAAGGTGGAGGGCGTGGGCGTAGCTCGCTACTGCAGCGCGGACGCGGACGTGGGCGCGCCGGCGGCGCATCTACCAAGGACGATGCCCGCGCTGCCGCGGTTCGCCACTTCCAGACCCAGGCCGGGAAGACGCAGATCGAGCTGCGCAAGGTAGAGAGCCAGCTGGCGGCAGCGCAAGAGGCTGGTAGCGGATCTGATGTGACTCGTGCACTTGACGATCGGCGCGTGGTGCTCGAGCGCCGGCTAGTTTATCTCGAGGCACAGCAACTCGACGGCAAGGCACGGTTCAAGGCGCTGCACCAAGCCAACGCCGAGGTTGTGCGGCTGGAGGCCAAGCTTGATGCCGCCCAGGCGGCGGGTGACGAGGCCGCAGCTACTGAGGCTGAACGTGCTCTGGACACGGCGCGGTTCCGGGTGGTGGCGGTAGCCAAGGAGTGTGCACATCTGAGCGAGGACGAGGTGGAGACCATCCACGATGAGCTTGTCGCCAGGATTGCCGAGCTGGAGATCCGCGAGGCCGAGGCGCGCGAGGCGGGCGACGAGCAAGCTGTCGAGGCTGCGCGCACTCAGCTGAGCGAGACCCGCTCGCACCAGGCGTTGGTGGATGCGGAGCTGACAGTAGTTCCGGCGTCGCAAGCCGAGAAGCGCAAGAAGATCATGGAGCTTCGCGAGTTTGTGCAGTCGGCTGAGGTGCAGGCGCGCGACCTCGAGTACGAGATTGCAGACTTCCGGTCGCGCGAGGTGGTGCTCGGCTCGTCGGCGCCGAGCGTGGCGTCGCTGCAAGAGCAGCGGAAAAAGGCGAGCGAGGAGCTGCACAAGATGCAGGCGCGTCGGGCAAGCGCAGCGGCGCAGGTGCGGCGGCTGACGGCGGCACTGGCGGCTGACACGGCGCTGCATGGTTCGCTGCGCGAGGTTACCTCTCTCATCAAGCGCAACTCGCGGGTAGTGCACGACGACGAGGGCTCATCTTCGGGCTCGTTGGACGACGACGAGCTGATGGACTCGATGGCGCCGGACGCGTCGCCGGCGTATGTGGCCAAGCTCCGGGCGTACGCTAAGGCGCGCAAGGAGCTCGACGCAGAGCGCGACGGGGCGAGCGCGGCAACCTTGAGCCCGACGCGAGCAAACATCGGTGGCTCGCGCGAGGCATCGCCTCGGCGGTCGCGGTCGACGTCGCCGACGCCGGCGCAGCTGCGCGAAGAGACGTACGTGGCTAGCAAAAACGTGGCGCTTTACCAGCGCTCGTTCCAAGGCGGCAAGGCGGCGAAGCAGTGGCGGACGCTGCTCCACGAGGAGGAGCAGCTGCAGTCGATGATGATGGAGGTGCAAGAGGAGGAAGTGGCGCTTCAGGACCGTGAGGCCAAGCTCCTTGCCTCATATGGGTCTGTGGAGAAAGACATGAGCGACGAGTCTGCGCGGCTCGATGCACAGGATCACGACCTGACCCTTGAGTTCCAGCGGCTGGAGGCGCGGAAAGAAGAGGTGGCGAAGCAGCAGGCTGCACTCGACGCCAAGCACGCCGACATCGACCGGCTCAAGCAGCAGCTGCCGGGCATAGCGCCGAGCGAAAAGCCGCGGCTACATGCGATGATTTCCCAGACGCAGGGCGAGGCACGCAAGCTGAGCAAGGCCGTGGAGAGCGCCAATGTGTCTGTGGACGAGTGGACGCAGGACCTCAAGATCCGAAAGCGCAAGGTACTCGACCGCCGCGAGGTGACAGCCTCCAAGGGTCTCACCATGCGACACCAACTGCTCAAGGTCCGGCAGAAGCAGCATCGGCTCAAAGCGCGACGGTACGATCTCGAGGAGCAAGGCCTCGCGCTCGAGACCGAGAAGCTCGACATCGAGCTCGGTTTCAACGACGACGCCGTGGCGCACATCGAGGACGCCGACAGCGAGATGCACACCCGGATGGAGCAGGTCGAGGCCGCGCAGAGCTCGCTGAGCGGGGCGGGGCGCAAGCTAAACGCGGCCGAGGAGGCCGCGTTGCGTACGCTCAAGGTCGAGCACGCAGCGCTCGCGCGGGCGCTCGCGACAAACGCCAAGAAGCGGACGGCGCTCGACGACGTGCGGGCGCATCTCGACGGGCGCATCGAAGAGACCAAGTCGCACTTTATGCGGCTGGAACGAGCGCGGCGGCGGTGGGCACGGAAGAACGCCAAGTTCCACGAGGACGAGAAGGAGATCATGGCCATGCTCCGCAACAAGGGTCAGTCGCAGGTCGAGTGCATCCTACGCGCCCAGTACGAGATGGGCGGCCTCCACCCGTTTGTGGCCATGAAGTTCCTCGAGCTCTCTTCCCTCGACTGGTTCATCTACGACTTTTAGCAGTAAAGGATCAACGCCAGGCGATGGGTGACATGACATGGATGTGTGTTGTTGTGGCTCATCCATCAGCTGCGTGCTTCCGCCATTGTTCAGTGGCAGCAGCCATGAACGCCAATGGAAGGAACGAATGCCAATGACAACCAACGCCCAAAAGGCAATGACGGCGGTGAATGCCAACAGCGACGGGAACGGGAAAGCGAGCAAAGGGGCGACACACCACACTCTGTGCGTAGTCTAGTCTTGCGTGGAGCTTGACCAGGGGGAGGTGGACCTGTCGGTGACGCATGGGAAAGAACGTGACTTTTGGAGCCGAGGCTACCGTCATGGCTCCTCCGGTCCATGAGCGACGGAGAGGAGGACGAGGTGGCGGTGGCGGTGGCGGGCGGCGGCGTGGCGGTGGAGGAGGTGGTGGTGGTGGTGATGGTGGCGGCGACAGGCATGGGTATGGGTATGGGTTGAATATCATGGGCAAGGCGATGATGTGGCGAACGGATACGGATATGGTGGTGATCAAGGTGGTCATCATGGAGTGGGTCATCATCATCAACATCAACATCACCAGCATCATCATCAACAACGACGTGGATACCATGGCGATGGCGATGGCGATGGCTATGGCTATGCCCATGGTCAGGGCTACGGATATGGTCACCCTCCTGCCAAGTCGGAGTATGCCAAACTGCGGGAGCGGGTGCTGGGACGGGAGCGGGCAAAGAGGGCCAACGGGGGGGTGCCGCCGAGACGGCGATCGGGACGGACGGTGTCGCTGGCGGATGACATGGCCCAGCCGCATGAGCTGCTCAAGGGTGTGGCTGCTGCAATGTCAACCGTCTCGGCTGTTGCTCCAGGCGCCATGACCCGCGAACAGCGGTCAAAGATGGCATCGAGCCAGCCGCGGCGGTCAACACGGCGCAAGTCGCCGGCAGTGTCGCGGCACGCGCGCACGGACGGTTCTCCCCCGGGCGCGGGAAGCAGCGCCGCGCGGGGGACACGAAGGGCAGGGCGCATGGTGATCAAGGAGGTAGCCGAGCCGCGCCAGCCGGGCTGGCAGGTGCAGCGCAAGGCACGCAAGAAGCGGCGCACCGCAGATGTAAGCGTCAAGGGCCGGACAAGCCGCAAGGAGCGCAAGGAAGCCGAGGCCCGCCAAGCCCGGATGTTTCGTGCCCGCCCAGTGCCAAAACTCTCGAATCCCGATGCACGCTCGCCCGGTGGCCGCCAGCGAGGCCACGGCAGGAGCGCGCGTCCCGCCGCGGTCACCCCGGCCGACCTGCACTCGCCGCCGGGTTTTGACAGCGACGACGTACGCGAGTTTGACTACGACTTTCGGCGTGACTCTGGGCACAGCAACAGCCAAGGTTATTACGGTGATGGTCAGAAGTATGGCTACGATGATCACTAGTTTTTAAGAGATCAGGATCCAGATGCTGGCTCTTCAGCTGTCTGAAGAGTCGTACAGCCCTCCCCGATGGCCCCAGCCCGGCCGGGGGGATAGTTGATGTACAGCTCTGTCATCGACTCAATATCACCGGCGGAGGACAATAGTGGCAATCAAGGCAACAAAAGACAACACAAGATTGCCGGCGATGCAAGCTTCGAGAATGAGGTCTCACCAAAGTGGAGCATGATGATGATGATGGTAGCCACCTCCAGCAACGCGCCCAAACTGCGACGTCTTGGCCGGCACACCAGCCAGCCTCTTGCCTTTGCACCTCTGCAGCTCTCTCACAGACCACCTCCTGCCCCCCCCCCCCCCACACCCCCCCTTGGGAGTGGTAGAAGAACAAGACGAGTATGGGAGGCATGGGTGCTGCCGGAGCCGTGGGTGTTCCCATGCGTCATGTAGGTGACTGGGGGGGGATGTGAGGGTGGGTGACCTGCGCCTCGTGACTTGGTTGGGAGGGAGAGGCGCGAGAGGGTGAGGCGGGGGGGGAGACAGGGGGGGAGGGAGGGGGGGGCATAGGCATAATATCAATACTTATGGATGTATGGGGGATGGGGGGCGTGCAGGTGGAGGATGCTCATTATGCTCGGAATTGGATTGGGTTCTTTATCATGGGCACCATCAACAACTTTGGTACGGGCCAGCAAGAATGGAGGAGGAGGGGAGGGGGGGGAGGGGAGGGGAGGGGAGGGGAGGGGAGGGGGGGGTAGAAGGTCGACGATCTGATGGCGGTTCGACGAGTCGGATGGGTCTTGACCAGCTGATGAGATCTTTACAGGCCGCAACTTGATGGCAGATCGCAGATCGCAGTCTGCCGACAGAAGGCGGCAAGATAGAGTGTGATGAGCAGGAGAGCGAGAAAGGGGGGGGGGGGGGGATCGAGAGATTGAGATGGGTCAAGTCACGTAGGAGGCTGCTTCATCCTTTATTTCCTGCCCACCATCGGCTGCGCCACATCTACTCACCCCCATCCCAATGCCATCGCAGCTTACGTGGCAGTCAACTCCAAGTCGAAGGACCTTGCCAAGCAGTTTCACAAAGAGTCTGCTATCGGAGCCATCCTATGGGCCAATGTGGCGACGGGTGCGCTCATTCAGAGTACGTTGACGAGTGATGGGGAGGTCTTAGTTGCGAGAGAGGGGTGGGAGAAGGGAGAAGGGGGGAGGGCAGTACTTACAACATCCGAGGTGGCCACACGCAGTGATCAATGCGGCGTTTCTGGAACGGACGTCGACATCAAAGCGGATGACGGTGGTGGCGGCTCTGTTCCTGGCCGGCCTGACCGCCATCGCCTTCTCCCCCGACGTTGACTTTTACTTTATGCTCTTTGCCGTCGTCCTTGTCGGGACCGGCACCTCATTTGGCCAGTGCGTCATGGTCGGTGAGCTCAAGCGGTACTCGCCGACCATGGTTGGCGGCTGGTCGTCTGGCACCGGCCTGGCCGGCATTGCCGGCTCGTTCACCATGATTCTGTTCTCATATCTGGAGCTCTCGGTGGCACTCACCTTTTTCCTCCTCCTCCCGCTTGTCGCCATCTACGTCTTCACCTTTTTCATCGTCCTCAAGCCGCCTACCGCTGATGATGACTCGGACGGTGTGGCCAAGAAGGCGCTGGGCGCGGTGAGCGTCGCCGCCTCGCTCAACACCGATGCCAAGCTCGAGGCCGGGTCCGCCGTCTCGGAGCGGACCGCGCTCATCTCGCCGATTGACGCCAGCGTGGTCCAGCCGGGCGTCGAGGTCGGGCCTCCGAACGAGACCGGCGCCCAGCGGGTCTTGCGCTGCCTCCGCCTCGTCACCTGGCTCGGCCTCAACATGGGCGCCGTCTACTTTTTCGAGTACTGGATCTCGGTCGGATGCGCCGCCGACGCCGAGCCGCACCACATCTCGCCGCGGGCCTCGTTCTGGGAGCGCAAGTCGTTTGTCATCCTCGCCGCCTGCTACCAGCTCGGTGTCTTTGTCTCGCGCTCCTCGCTGCGCTTCTTCAAGATTTCGCGCATCGAGATCCTCACCGTCCTCCAGGGCCTCAACCTTGGCTTCTGGCTCGCCGACGACATCTACAAGTGGATGCCGTACTACATCCAGTTTGTGGCCATGTTCTACGTCGGCCTCCTCGGCGGCACCTCGTTTGTCAACACCCTTTTCAAGGCCTCCAACGATCCGCGCACCCCCGAATCCGACCGCAAGCTCACCCTCTACATCATCCTCATCTTTGTCAACGTTGGCATCGGCCTTGCTGCCGCCGCCGTCCTCATTGCCGACGCCACCTTTCTCGCCGATCAGGTTCCCAAGAACAACTAGCCCTCTGCCTCGCCTAAACCGAGCCTCTCTCTCTCTCTCTCTCTCTCTCTCCTCCTCCCTCCCCTCCCTCCCTCCCGTCCCGTACCCCGT